TGGCGGAGGGAGGAGCGGAGGGAGGACGGATCTTGCGGGCGAGCGAGGGAACGAAGAGGAGGAAGCATGCGTGAGGCGGACATCTTCACAGGCGGGTTGAGGCGGCGGTGGCCGTGGGGTGTTTTGGCGCCGAGGCGGGAGCCAGCAGAGGAGGGCGCGGTTTGAAGGCGGCGGTGGGACTTTTTGAGGCGGCGCGTGGGGACAACAGATTGGCGAGAAAAATGGCAATTTTGCCTCACGGCTAGTGGGCTGCTGTAATGCCCTTAAGTTTGTGGGCTTCATCAGAATACTCTTATAAAAGGTGTGTTTTATGTTATTTTGTTATTTCGTGTTTTTTCCAAATTTGTAAATTTTTGACCCTATCTTTTTGACCACGCATGACCATTTTACCCCTGTCTCCTTGTACCTTATCCTCTTGTTCCACTTCTCACGGTCACGGCAATTTCTCCTTTCTCTCCCGTTCTCTCTCCGTCTCGACCGATGTTCGGGCGGGAGCCCGACGCCGGCCGCCACCGCCGCCATTCCCGTCCGCCAAAGTCAGTCACGTCACACAGTCACAGGCAGCGTCACCAGGCAGTGCCGTCCTACACGATCGCCCTAGACCAACCCTCGCACTATTCCGCTAGCGTCGTCGGCCAGCGGTCAGGCCGGGTCATCCCCAGGCGAAGGCTCCCGCAGTCCAAGACGCACGCACGCCTCTAAAGCCTGAGCCGCGGCAACATCCTCCCCTAGAACTAAGGTGAGGCTTCAAGGCGCCCATATTCAGGATTGATTTGTGGATTCAATGGGTATAGTGTTAATTTAGGGTTTTACAGGAGTAAGAAACCGTTATTCTTTTATGTGCTTGTGCTATGGATTGCAATTGGAGTGATATAGTTATCAGGTATGCATCATTATTTACTCTTTGTTGTACAAATATATCTTACTATGATTAGTTGTATGGTATGCGTGTAGTGTTCTAACTCTATAATGGGTGTTTTTTTAGGCTCGATGCGGAGCCTGAGCTTAGTTTAGTGCCTGTAGATGGTGGCATTCTAGAACAGCCACAGGGACATATCGTTAATTGGGATGAATTACGGATTGAGGAAAGGCAAGATGATGAAGGGGAAGGAAGGTTAGAAATTTTCGATGAGGATGAGTTGTATCGTTTGCTGGGCCTGAGAACCGAGAATGATCATGGCTAGGGTGCTGCTGATGCTACTTCAAATGATGATCAGGCTACCACAAACAATGGTAGTACAGTCCTTGATGTTGACACTAGAGGTGCAGCTATCCCTGTTGATGATGCAATACTGGAGGAGAGGGTGATGGTGTATGACCCTAACAAACCATGCATGGATATTGGCACTGTGTACCCCAACATGGTTGAGTTTAGATTGGCGGTGAGGCAGTTTGCCATTAATAAAGAGTTTGCACTACACACTATGAAAATAGACACTGAGAGGTTTATTGGGAAGTGCATGGCACCATATTGCCCTTGGCATATTAATGGTAAAAAACAACGCCATTCAAATACTGTTATGGTATACAAAATTTTTTTGTTATATGAATATGACTTCTTTTTTTGAGTTATGGCAATATTCTAATTTATGTAATAATGCAGGTTACAGCTCTGATTGCTCAACATAATTGTTCATCCAGTGCGAGGAGACTTACTACTATACCCACTGCTGCCTGGGTTGCTTCAAGGGGTATCAAGCACCTCAGGAAGGGCCCAAATATGGGCCCAAAAGAATTGAAGAAGCAGCTGCAAGACGACCACAAATGTGAAATTCACTATGACACCGTTTGTACGGGGAGACAGATTGCAATAAAAGAGTTGTTTGGCAGCTGGGAGGAAAGCTTCCAAATGCTCTACAATTGGAGGGCAGAGGTTCTGAAACACTCACCAAACAATGTCATTGAGATTGACATCAAGATGGTTGATGGCAAGGTACACTTTCACAGGTTCTTTTGTGCTTTAAGTCCTTATATTGAGGGTTTTCTAGAGGGATGTAGGCCTTACCTTAGTATAGACTCCACTACATTGAATGGTAGATGGTGTGGACACTTAGCAACAGCCACTTCTCTAGATGGACACAATTAGATGTATCGTGTTGCATTTGGCTTCATAGATGGTGAGAGAACGGAAAATTGGGAATGGTTTATGACTCAGTTGCATAAGGCCATAGGAGACCTACCTGTTCTTGCTATTTGCACTGATGCATGCAAAGGTCTAGAGAAAGCTATTAAAAATGTGTTTCCTCATGCTAAACATAGAGAGTGTTTTAGGCATCTTATGCAGAATTTCATTAAGAAGTTTGGGGGTGATGTTTTTTCGAAGATGTATCATGTAGCTCGAGCATATAGAGTTGAAGTATTTCAATATTTCTTCAAATTTGTTAGAGAGGCTAGCGATCAAGTGATGGAATGGCTCGACAATCATCATAAATTGTTGTGGATGAGAAGTGCATTTAACCCTGAAATCAAGTGTGATTATATAATCAACAACCTTATTGAATGTTTTAATAATTGGATCAAAGACTAGAAGGACCTTCCTGTAGTTGAGCTTGTTGATAAAATTAGGGAGATGCTAATGGTATTATGGAGGAAGAGAAGACAGATTGGACAAAAGCTTAATGGAAAAATTTTACCTACAGTCATACGTCAACTGAAAATGAGAACCAGAGGCTTGGGTCACTTGACAGTTATCACCTCTGATAGTGTTGCTGCAGAGATATGGGAAATTAATAGCATCCACAACAGGCATGTAGTGAAGACTTATCTCCGTGAGTGCACATGTCTTGAGTGGCAACACACTGGTAAGCCATGTCAGCATGCTTTGGCTTTGATTACAGGCCAACAAATTGTGGATGTGGATCTTGAGGAATTTGTCCATAAATACTATTCAGTGGAAAAATTCAGAAATGCCTATAAGAGATTAATAGAGCCACTCCCAGATAAAACTCAGTGGCCACATGTGCCGCTTCCATTTACCGTTAGGGCACCATTGGACAAAAAGGGTGCTGGGAGGTATAGGAAGCTGTGGATAAAAGGATGTCTTGAAGGAGAAAATGGTGGCAAAGGAAAAAAAGGCTGCCAAGAGGCTGCCAATGAGGCTGATAAAGCTGCTGAAGAGGAGGCTATGCAAGTTGCTAAACCTAAAAGGCAATTGGTAAGAGGGAAAATGATATGCAAGGAGTGTGGAGAATTGGGTCATGAAGAAACAAGCTATAAGTGCCGCCTGAATGGGACAAAGAAAAGGTACTGATTTTTTTAGTTTTTTAACTTACATCTACTAAATGGGATAAACAAGCTACAAGTGCCTAAATTATTCTAACTTGCAGGAAAAGGAAGCCTAGGACAAATACAACCAAGTATGGGAAGAATGATAACAAAAAAACTAAAAAAAGCTGCTGAAAATACTCCTGTCCAGTCTGAAAATGTTGCTGTCCATGCTGAAAATGCTGTTGTCCAGCCAGAAAATGTTGCTGAAAGTACTCCTGTACAGGCTCAAAACGTTGTCGTCCATGCTGAAAATACTCATGTATATGCTGAAAATGTTGCCACAGCTAAGGCCAATATTTTATCAACAAGTCCAGAAAGGTTGACTAGAAGGTACTACGATTCTTCCATGAACCCATTATAATTCTTTCATGAAAATGCTGCCGTCCATTACAATTCTCATGTTGCAACCGACTTGCTGTACTACTTGGAGAAGGGCCTGGCGCGGACGGGCGGCGGCGGCCGGCGGCGGGCTCCCGCCCGAACACCGGTCGAGACGGAGAGAGAACGGGAGAGAAAGAAGAAATTGTCGTGACCGTGAGAAACAGAGCAAGAGGATAAGGTAAAAGGAGACAAGGGTAAAACGGTCACGCCTGGTCAAAAAATAGGGTCAGAAATTTATAAAGTTGAAAAAAACACGAAATGACAAAATAGCGTAAAACACACCATTCGTAAGGGCATTCTGACGAAGCCAACAAGCTTAAGAGCATTCTAGCAAAGCCCACTCCCATAAGAGCAAAATTCCCATTTACAGCATTGCTGGCGGTCTGCTTGGAGCTATGCTTGATCGCGAGAGCCGAGAACTTCAAATCGATGTCGTGGTCTCTTGGATAAACTGCGAATCGATTCACAGGGAGGAACGACACTAGAGAAACAAGCAAATTCGTAAGGTAAGGTTTCATGTCCGAGCGATCTCATCATTTTCAACGCCAATTCTTGACAGGTGGTAGTACTCCATGCAGATTGCGAAGGATTAAGCCTGTTCGGTTGGCTGGTTCGTATCGTTGCTGGTTCGTGAAATAGTACTGCTGACTAATTTATGTGAGAGAAAAATACTGTTTCAGCTGAAAATTTACGATCATATACAATAAGCCACAGCCAAACGAACAGGCTGAAGAAAAGACGACAGCCACAAGCTCGGTTGGACTGCCCTGTCAGCATCCACCATCCAGCAATGTGTGAAAAACTGAAACAATGAAACCTGAAAAGCTGCTTCGTTCTCCATTTGCACTACGCCAAGATACACAACAGGATAAGTACTCCATGTGACGTGATAATAGGTCATGGACATTAACTGTTAGTTATCACCGAGAAAAATCTTGCGTATGGTTCTCGGGAACATATCGTGTAAACCAATCTTTTCATCTAAATCGTGCAAACCAACTACGGGGTAGAGGTGGAAGGGAGGATTTGCAAAAATATAATTACGCCCGCTCCTAATTACACTTTTACAAATCCTCCCTCCCACCTCTCTCCCGCAGTTGATTTGCACGGTTTGCACGGAGATATTGGTTTGCACTTGATACATTGCTATGGTTCTCACACATGCCAGTTCTCGAGGAGCAAAGAAGCTCATCTGCCGGGACCCAATTTCACACGACTGCACATAACTCATGTGGCATTACATCCAACCCAATGCGGCAAAACTGGGGAAGAACAAAGAATGGTTGTGTCGCTGGATGTTGGAGCAAATTAAATTGATCAAAATCAACTACTCTACACTCCCTATACGTAAATCAGTTGCTCCTGTTTGCATATACTTCTGTTTCCTCTGTTACCTTTGTCCACATATTAGCAAAATGATCTGAATAAGACACCTGCATAAACAATTGAAGAGGAAAACATTATGTACCACGATTCTTTCCCTTTTGTCAGCAAATGTACAATGTAAATATTCGCTTTCTTTGCTGGACACGTAACACTCTTACCTGAGTTACCACAAAACCTTTCAGCATCTCGATGAAATCCTGGCGTCTTTCCTTGTCAAATCTTTTTATTTCAATCTTGTTGTTTTCCTGCATTGTTAAAGGCAATAAGGTTTCAAATTTCAGTAACAGCCATAGTGGCACCTACCATCCCTAGAGCATTATAACTTTCTACACAAACACTGAACTCTTCACAAATATGACTTGATGATATATCAGAGTTTGCTGTAACTATATGACTTGATGAAACATCCTACTGTTCTCAGAATCAGTCAAATAACCTCATAACATATACTCAAGCTAAGAGGGGGGGGCAAGCTCAATACTACTCCATTTGGATACAGCATCCCTAGGCACCCTTCTAGTTTCTAGGCTTTCGTAAAATAGAACTGCAAAATTAAAAAGAAAACTGGAAGGCCTATAGCATTGTTCCGTTGTCGTTGATACCCATACCCATTACCCAAATCCACACCTGGTAGTATGGGCCAGGGATGGGGAAAAAAATCTTTGCCCATTGAGATAAGGGGCAGACCCATAAGAATAAGGTTGTGGGGAGGGATCCCCATCTCTGGTCATTGTCCTGTCTCCTTGGACACTCGACGTTCTGGGCGAGCCCTCACCCATCTCTGCTGCCTCTTCCAAGATTGCCAGTCTCCATAACCTCACCCTCCATGTGTGCACTGATGCTGGCACACAAGGCCCCACGCTCCCACCACAGCACACAGACCTCACACAAGGAAGCCTCTCCATGTGTGATTCTCATGGAACCCAGGTTCTAATCTTCTAGGGAATCAGATGATGAGAATTAACCAATGAGGTGTGTGAGAACAAACAACTGGTGACAGCAAGGAGCACTAGAGCAAGAAACAATTGACGAGTTCATGGATACCCAGCAGCCACATCTCCTACATTACTTCTTGCCTTCTTGGATTTGGTATTGATCTGTCAGACTGAGATTCAAGGTTTCTTCAGGGTTTCTTTTCCCCTAAGGGGATGTCTGCCTGTTCCTATCTGTTTTTTTTTCAAATAGAATTTTGCCTCATGGTGTCTGTTCTTCTAATCCCTATTGATCTGTGCATATAAATTTAATCATAAGAACAACATTTAATCATGTCATACTGATTTTGCTAGATGTGCTAATTTGATGTCAAGAGTAAAGCATGGCTCAACTTGCAACACTAAAAATTAAGAGGTGCACGTTTCTTTTTCAGCACCTAAAACCATGAGGTGTATGTTTAGGTAATTTTCCTAGGTAAGTTCATGCTCCTTAAGTTTTTTTGATGGAAAATATTATTATTCACATTTTTTCAGGCAACTTACCTTAATGCTTTCATATTCTCTAACTGCATCACTTTTGGCTGCTTCCGCTGATCTTATTGTTTCTTTCAACCCCTCTACTTTCTGATATGTTGACCACTCATGCCCCATATCTCTTGCTGATGAAGATTCAAGTCTCCCTGCCCTGGTGTGCAAGGAAAACAAATCTGCTGACAGACTTTGTACGTAATGTAAAGCATTAGAGCGATCTGTAAATGCATGATGAACTGATATCATCATCTCCAAGTGTTCATGGATACTACCCTGCAAAGCCATAAACAATGTTAGTGAGTCAGATAATTCCAGTAAAAGATACACTTTCCCAGTATTGAGTCCACAATATATCAACATACCAGGTGTTTCACAATTTCAGAGTTTAATTTTATCTGTGACCTGCTCATCTTCAAAACAGAATTTGCAAAATTATGGATTTCACCAGACCGTCTTCTTAGGGAATTACATGTTGCCTGCTCTCTTTCAAATTTTGCCAGCTTAATCAATGTCATTCCCAAGTGACCTGTGGTTTCTCTAAGATCATCTTGGCTTTAACAAAGCGCTTCCGCCTGCATATATATATATAAAATACAAAGTTAAAGGATTGGCCATAGCAATTTTGTATTATGTCTGTAAAAGGGGAAGCATCTTGAGGGCCTGAGGGCCAATACATGCAACTGAGCTATTTCACAAGATCAGTTGACCAATACCTGCTGCGATGTTGTGGTGAGGTGCTGCTGTAAGTCCTCAAACCTAGCCTTGTGCGCCAGGAACTCCGTGTCTGTCTCCTTTTCCACAGGTGGAGGCTTTGTTGCAACCAGTCCATTCACCACCGTCTGCTTGAGACCCTTAAACATCCCAAACAAGTCCCTCCCAGCTTTCGTCGGCACCAGTGGAGCAGCAGCATTCACAGTGGTAGTCCAGTACCGTGGGGCCTCACCCTGAAAGGCGGGGATGGCACCAGGCTCCGTGAGGAACGTGCGGAGATCAGGGCTCTGGCCGACGATGGGGTGCGCCGCAAGGCGGCAGAGGTAGCGCTGGAGCGCAGCGCAGCGCTGGCTCACGAAGTCGTGGCGCTGTATGACCTGCCCCTCGAGAACGCTCTTGTCAGGCCGGGCCGGGACGAAGAGGCCGCGGTGGGCTGCGGCAAGGCGGTCCGCTAGGGCCACCACGTCGCGGAAGCGCCGCCGCACGCGGACCTCCCCGCCGCCGCCAGCAAGACGGGTGGTGATGAGGTAAGAGAAGTAGCTGCCGGACCCCGGGATCACACCGGCGGCACCCGCGCCGCTGGGCTCCGCGTGCTTCTTGGGATCGGATACGGTGATTTTGGCGAACACCGGGGACGACGCATCGCCGCGCGCTGCGCGCGGCGGGCGGGCGACGCTGGGCGACGGGGCGGTGGAGAAGTCGTCCTCGTCGAGGAAGTCGTCGATGACGAAGGGTCGTCGCTCGCGGCGGTGGTAGGGGAGGTAGGTGGCCGGAGGAGGGGGTCGGTGGAGGCGGAGGCGGTAGCGGCGGCAGACGACGAGGATGAGTCGAGGGCGAGGGTTTCGAGGTCGTCAGCGGCGGTGGAGGGAACCGACGGCGAGGGCTCCGCTGCCATCATCGCTGGTAGAGAAGGGTGGGTATGGTTTAGGCTTGGCCGCTTGCGATTGAGTGGGATCTGACTAGGGGAGGCCGCGAACAATCGATCGGTCGACTATGGGCGGAAGGAAGGAGGAGGCGGCGACGAGGTGGATGGTGTCGCGTCACTCGCGTGTCCCCGCCGCGGTTATTATTCGTAAGACTGACTCCAAGGTGAGCCAAACCTGACACCTATTTTACAGTATAGGTAATGCACAGTTAAAAAGTCAACTCGATCTCTCAAACAGAGCAGCAAGTCCTAAATGGGAGGTGGCCGCGCCGAGGTGGAGGAGACTGTCGCGCCGGGGAGTCTCGCGGTGGCGGGGAGGCAGGACGCCACGCCAGGGCGGGCTCGGCGCGCCAGGGCTAGGCGGCCGCTCTAGGGCCAGCTCGCCTAGCCGGCCAGGGTGAGCGGCGGCGGGGCCCAGATCCGCGCACCCCCGCCTCCTCCTCGCCGCACCGGAGCAGGGCATCGCGCGGAGGTGGTGGTGGGCCGCCGCGCCGAGGTGGAGGCGGGCCGCTGCGCCGGGGCAGGGCTGCCGCCCGGAGCAGGGCAACGCGCCCGCACTCGATCCTGTGCGGAGGAGGAAGATGGCAGAGGTGAGGAGGATGGCGTGGCCGAGGTGGAGGCGGGCCGCGCGCTGGGGCAGGGCTCGTCGCGCCGGAGCAAGCTTGCCGCGCGCGCCGGCGGGGAGGTGGGCCGCAGCGCGGGGCAGGGCTCGCCGCGCCGGGGGAAGCTCGCCGCTCGCTCCGGCGGGGAGGTGGGCCGCCGCACGAGGTAGGGCGCTCCCAGACGCGAGCAGCCTTGCTCCCAGACGAGCTGGGTGCTCCTCGCCTCGAGCCCGCCTCGCCCCGCCGGCCGCACTCCGCCGCGGACCCGCCTCGTCGAGTCGAGCCAGTCGCGCCTTGCCCCGACGGCTCCTACGGGCCCACCACTACATGTTTGCGTCGGCTCTCTTCGAGGACGCAAAATTGCCTTCCCACTCGTCGAGGACCCAGAATGGGTAGCTGGTTTCGGTCTTCCGTTGGAGGAGTGTTTTGGAGACCCCAAACATTGTGCATGACGCATTTTTGCGTTTAGGTCACACCGTTAGAGACAGTCTAAGTAAGGGGGACACCGTTTTGAGAGGTGGGGCCTCGAGTTAAATAGTACTACCTCGTCGCAGGTTAAAAATAATTTAAGTTTGATTGAATTTAAAAAAATTATAATAGTATAAATATATATTATAAAAGCATCGTGGGAAGTGAAAAAACACACATAGAAGAATCGTTGCACTCTTTAAGATTTTATTCTAACATATATACTCATGCGTTCCAACCGAAAATAAAAACTATCAAACGTTAATGTGAAATGATAACAGAAATGCTACATATATCTATGTATTTATGTTTTCCCTTTCTGTAAAATTTTAAAACTACAACTAATTTTATGATGACCAGAGTATCCATAATATAAATAAATATTGGTAATAATATGACAATGTTCTCTAAAATTTGTATTAAATTAAAACACAATATTGATATATATTTTTCTTCCATTGCAAGGCACATAACTCGTAAACTTTAATTTTCATAGTATCCTTGTGTTGGCCAGTTAGATATCGAGTTTTCGTGGCTACTTTGAGAATCTCTAAAAATATATAATTCTAATATTTGATTAAAATTGACAAGGAGTTAGTTGTCATCGTGCCAAGGATTAGTCTATCCATTTCTACATGACAGCCCTCGTTGAGGATTGCACTGTATACACGTACAACATGGATAGATTGGAACGGAATGCTTAACATTTCGGTCCATGATTGGACTAGTTGGACCATTGACTGGTCCATCTTCTATAATCATAAGTTTTGTTTTTAATCAAAATTATATCAACAACTTAGGATGATAATATTTATTTTTTACTCGCTCTATTCCAAATTATAAGTCATTTCAAAAATTTTGAAGAGTCAAATTATCTCAAGTTTGACCAAAATTATAAAGATAATTATAAAGATTTATAACATAAAATAGGTATACTATGAAAATATAATTAATGAAAAATTTAACGATACTTAGTTGACATCATAAATATTATTACATTATCATATAAATTTAGCCAAACTTAAGATGTTTTGACTCTACAAGATTCTTGAAATGATTTGTAATTTGAGATTGAGGGAGTATTCAAGAATAATCAAGAGTTAAAGACCCATAATACTATATTTAGAATTTATATTTATAAGAACAAATCGGAGGCATAAAATAAAAACGAAAAAAGTCACAGAACCCAAACGTGGGAAAGCCAGAAGGGGCAAACGGTACAAACAAAAAACAAAAAGGACACGGACTTACCGACGGTAACGTTTTGCACAGGAAACACGGGCGGAGGAAACTTTCCGAGTGGGTGACTGAGCTGGGCAAAAAAATTTATGTACAAATTTGGACTCTTTAATAATAGGCTAACCCTGATACGTAGAAGAATAAGACTCATCATCGCTAGATATGAGCTGTGATTTATTCTGGCCCGTGCGATTCGCTGAAAAAACAAGTTAAAATACTGATCCGGCTGATTTGTTGTGAGAGAAAAATACTGTTCCGGCTAAAAAAACAAGCTGAAAAGTGCGGATTATAAGAGAAACGAACAGAGCCTCTAACTCATACGAACATAGGTTCTAATTCTACTGCACTACTTCAGCAATACTTTTCAACAAATCAATAATGTTTTTTCTCACAGCATTACGTATGACGTGAATCAATATGTATTAGAACTGGATTCCTTATTCACCATCATTAGATTGAGTCCTAACTCATACCAGTATGGATCATGAATTTATACGAGATAGAAAAAAAAAACTTTCTAATGTCAACCAAGTAGCTAGGGGAAAAAGGACTGTACCCAGTGCAGAGAGCTCCTGCTCTGTGCGGGATTTGAGGAATGGTGTCAGTGGCAAGTCTTATCCTCGTATGTGCAATGCAAGGAGACCGCGATTCGAACCCGGGACCTTCCGGTCACAGGCGGTAAGACTTGACCGCTTGCACCAAGTAGCTGGGGGAAGTGAAAAAAATAGGTGGATATCAATGAGATGGGGATTTCTTATCAACGACATCAGCGATCTCACTTCGGGCGACGACAAAAAAAAATGTGTTGACTATCAGCCTGTTCGTTTGTCTGTGGCTTGTCGTAAACGATCGTAAATTTCCAGCCGGAACAGTATTTTTCTCTCACACAAACCAGCCAACAGTACTTCTTCACGAACCAGCAACGAAATGAACCAGCCAACCGAACAGGCTGTATACAAAAACATCACATGACAGTGTTGCTGCAAACCTGTGTCAATTTGCATCTTTCGTTAAATATTATGTAAATCATATCAATGTGCCGCAGATTAATTACTTGCAGCGGGTAGTATGATTTTCAGCAGCAAACTTGACCTAATACTGTTAGCAATATACTACCACGCCACCAGTCCCATCTAAGCAAAGCAGTCAAGACACATATCTTGCATAGTCAACACGAAAAATACAGACCACCTTGATATATCTAGAGGTCGACAGTGAGACAATCTGCCATGCAAATTCAGTAGAAACTCCAGTCTTACTAACAATGGATATGAATATTTACCCCATAGCAATGGTTCTTGGCACCAAAGTGTTAGTTGATTAACTCTGGGATGTATTTTTCAGAAACAAGAAATCTGTTACTTTGAGATAAGTGTAGATCAATTAGAACTGTACGTCAATTGCTATGGCCTATAGGCAAAAGATAAAAAAAGGGCGTATCCAGTGCAAAGAGCTCTCGCTCTGTGCAGGATCTGAGGAAGGGTGTCAGTGGCAAGCTTTACTGAAAGGTTCTTGTGTGGTTTTGGTAATTGAGTGACAACCTAGGTGGACTAATTGTGTTTATGTGAGATACACATGTGATTAGTCCACAGGTACATGTGTGTAAGCAACATATGCCATGAAGGTGAAAATGACGCGGAGATGTTGCAAAGCTCACACATGTGATAATGAAGGAGCTCATTGCACATGAGACATGACATTGAGTCATGTGATCAAGGTGGAGAAGATCAAGACAAGACTTGGCTTGATGGACCGGTTGCAAGCGTGAAGGGCAAGTCGAATGCTTTGGAGCGATGGACCGCGTGGCGGTGAAGCTTAAGCAAGACTTGACACCGATGGACGAAGACAATGTTGAAAAGCAAGTAGAGTCAAGATCGATGAACCAATACGGTCATGTGATGATATGAAGTGGATTATATCATTTGGTGATTGGTTGGTGCATGTGTTGCATCAACATTGGAGGAGATAGAATGGAATATGCAAGGCAAAGGTATAACCTGGGCATTTCATTTCACCGGTCATAGTTGTGTAGAGAAGTTTATGACCGGATTTAGGATAGATGACCGTACTATCAAGAGGGGCAAACTTGTTTGCATATTGGTCATCTAGTGCTACTCGTGTGATCTAACTTTGCATCGTCGTTAAGATTGAGTGGCGTGGCAAGTTGAGCGGCTAATTCTTTGGAAAATGATTGTGAAAATGCTAACACACATACACATGGTGGTGTACACTTGATGGTGTTGGCACATTTACAAAGGAGATGAAGTTGGAGTTGATGTGGATCAACTCGGCGATGAAACAGAGGCGAGAAGGGTTCAAAACTTCACCGGCGGAGTGTTCGCCCGTAGATTATGGACAATCCGACGGTGCCACCAGCGCCCTGTATAGAAAAGACAGAGTTTCACAGAGTGCACCGGACGCTGGTCACACAGTGACCGGACGCTAGGGTCCTGCGTCCGGTCAGTGGTAGCAGAGAACGCGCAGGCGTCGGTCTTCGACCAGACGCTGGCTGGGTGCGTCCGGTCGCACTGGTGTGGCGGCGCATAAAGGAGACAGTGAGTGATTGGACGCTGGGCGAGTCCGGTCGGGGGTGACCGGACGCGTCCGGTCATGAGTGGAACCTTACTGGAAGCGATCGGACGCTGGGGTCCTGCGTCCGGTCATACACTGTGCTGCGTCCGGTCGCAACTTAACCGTTGAGATCGGGCGCTCAGTATTTGAAGCCAGGGATGACGTAGTAGCCATCCGTTGACCGGACGCTGGCAGGGTGCGTCCGGTCGATCTGACCATAGCGTCCGATCACCCCGAGCTGTGCCCAGTGAAGGGGTAAAACGGCTCTATTTTCGTGTGGACTATAAATAGAAGGGGTCTCGACCTTAGGCCAGTTGCTGAGCACGCTAGAGCCTTGGTAGCTTGTGTGGTAGTATTTCGGAGCCCTCTAACTCACTTGAGTTTGATAGTGTTCATCCGATCGAGTGAGTGAGCGATTCTAGTGTGATTGCATCGAGTGGCACTAGGTGATCGAGTTGTAAGCCGGTGACGCTTGTTACTCTTGGAGGTTGCCACATCCTAGATAGCTTGGTGGTGGTCTCCGTCGAAGCCTGGAAGAAGCTTGTGCGGTGCTCCGGAGAAGAGCTTTGTGAGGAGTATTGTG